ATTTTTTTTTTTTTTTTTTTTTTTTGTAATGTCAGAGCTGCTGAGTGAGTGAGTCAGGCAAGAGACTCGGATCACTTCACAAGCACTTCCCCAACGAGCAGCTCTACCTAAGAGGTCTCTACCTTTTTGTCACGTCTGGAAGTGAACCCCCCCAAGACGGAACAAGCTGCCCGCGTGATCTCGGTGGGAACCCTAAAAGTGCATTGCGCGCCCTGTGGTCGGCTCCTCGGGAAATGAAAGCTGCCAGAGCTCCGTGGATTACACCCCGGACTGAAAACTCCGGCTCTCCGTCAGCGTCACTGCAAGACCGCAGAGCCCCATGATGCTGTGACCGGTACCCCCAAAACTTAAGGAGTCTTACGTGTGTAGACTACAAAGCTTCATAACTCTTTGTGATTTTCGTGGACTGTAATACAAGACTGCAAAGCTTCCTGTAAGCTAAGGACCTGGAAGAACTAGAAGTCCATCTGTAACCCCTGTGAAGGAACTAAAAAGCCGTACCCCCCCTAAAAACGACTGTACCTGAAGACTGCAAAGACCCAGAAGTCCACCTCCTGCACCCCAACACTGGAAAGACTTAGAATTCCAATGCCTATATCCCATGGCAACAATGCCTTCAAAAGCACCATGACCTGTACCCCCTAAACAGGAGCTTAAAAAAAACAGTACCCCCAAAGGACTGTACCTGAAGACTGCAAAGCCCCAGAAGTCCACCTCCTGCACCCCAATACCGGAAATTATTAGAATACCAGTGTCTATATCCCATGGCAACTGCACCTTCAACGCACCATGACATGTACATGAGGACTTTTTAGACCCAGAAGTCCACCTCCTGCACCCCAACACCGGAAAGTCTTAGAGTACCAGTGTCTATATCCCATGGCAACTGCGCCTTCAAAGCACCTTGACCTGCACCCTTATAGAGGAACTAAAAGCCATGTACCCCCAAAGGACTGTACATGAGGACTACTTAGACCTACGAGTCCACCTCCTGCACCCCAATACCGGAAAGTCTTAGAATTCCACTGTTCATATCCCATGGCAACAGCACTTTCAACGCACCATGACCTGTACCCTTATATAGGAACTAAAAACGCATACCCTCAAAAAGGATTGTACAAGAAAACTACTTAGACCCAGAAGTCCACCTCCTGCACCCCAATACCACAAAGTCTTAGAATTCCTAGAATGTCCATATTCCATAGTCACTACACCTTCAAAGCACCATGACCTGTACCCCTGAAGGACGGTACATGAAGACTACTTAGACCCAGGGGTCCACCTCCTGCACCCCAGACACTGGAAAGTCTTAGAATTCCAATGACTATTATCCCATGGCAACAACGCCTTCCAAGCACTATAACCTGTACCCCCGAAGGACTGTACATGAAGACTTTAGACCCACCTCCTGCACCCCAACACTGTAAACTCCTAAAATTCCAATGTCTATATCTCAGGATCGGCAGGTCTTTAAAGCACAATGACCTGTGATCCAACAATGGAACTAAAAACCTGCACCCCAAAAGACTGTACCTGTAGACTACTAAGCCCGCGAAGTTCACCTCCTGCACCCCAACACTGCCGAACATTTCAATGTCTGTATCTCCCAGGGAAGCAACAGCTCCAATGTTCCATGACCTGTACCCCTACATAACTCAAAACCCATACCCCAAAAACGCAAGCTCTCAGGAACACGGATCCCATCACCGCAAGGTACCGGATCTCCTCAGCCTGAAGACCAACATAGAGAGGTCCAAGTAACACTGCCTTACATGCGTCACCCCTCAACTTCTCGAGTGACGCAGACGACATCTCAAGCCTGCGAAGCCTTTCAGCTATAAAAATCCCTGACAAAGCGCTGGAACTACAAGCACTCCTCGTGATTTGTGCAGCACCCCATGCGCCCCCCAGCTTGCAGCGCAGCTCTGCGGACTGCACACCCGACTCTAACAAAGCCAAGTCATGTACCCCAAGACCACAGTAGGGGCATGTACACTAACTACAGAGTCCTGCTGGATTTGTTGCAGAAAAGTAAAACTCCAGCACAATAACCCCCCCCCCTCCCAAAAAAAAAAAAGAGAGCACTTGTCTAGGCCCACCAAGA